TGACACCTTGTTGAGTTTTAGGGTGCTGCAATAGAAATTTGTATGTATGTACATTGTATTTAAATGATCTTGCTTCCGACAATATAAATACTTTTAAAACACGCGCACTGTTGGTGCTATAACATTTATAACCGCTAAGCATATAGTATCCTTATATCAATCTACTGTACAAATAATAAATCAATTACCGTTTGAAATGATTAAGACATAATTTTGTTTTTAATAGAAACACTGCAGTCAATAAACAAAGGCAGAATGACACAATGATAAACAATAACTTTTCAGATTTTAAAAGTATGTATGTAAAATCTAGGCACGTGATAGATTTGATAAATTTAGAGAAAATTGACACAAAAATGAACTATTTGGAATATCAAGATTTCTGGTACACTTTTACAAACATTGTATCCGTTCCTGTTCTGGTACAACTTGCCTAGAGTAGTCGACGAGGCACGCATGGTTTACGACTATCACGACCTTAACAAGTTTAGATGAGTCGCTCCATAAACTTGAGTTGTGTACATCAATTTTCATATATGCACATTGAATGAAATAAACCCAATTTCGTTTCTAGTGACCAATTGAATTTAATGTTCTCGCTGTGGATTTTTTATCGAGCGAAATATTGTCGACACAACATAGTACATTACTACCCTGGCCAACGAAAGGTGCGGCTGCAGCTGCCAGCGATAATGACACAAACGACACATGCAATATCGAGTTGTGCTTTCATGATAGCCTAGACAGGTATTTCTATTACATTCCGGCTTTAATCACGGTGACGTGATAACAGACTGTCCTGGTAAATGTGGACATATTAATTAAAAACATAAATCTGAGAATCCATATTTACTGTATGTACGTTTCATTTCAAATAAGTGTAAATATTATAGCTTGCTCTCAGTGAGAGAGAAATGTGCTTGTTCATGTAAGGGGTCGATCATTTGACATCATGGGGGTGGCTGGAGGATTCGTTGAAGAGGAAACATGTTGGTTTTGGTAATGCTCTTACAGTCACTCTCTGATTTCAAATGTGTGACCCCTAATGTATATATGCCAATGCGTGGTTTTATTTGCAAACATCTAATTTGATTATATCGCAGTGCGCACTGATAACTTTTTACAGTGACTTAGTTTATTTGAAAATCCCTTGTGTATTGCTGTATATAACAGAGCTCGCTTGCTGCCTGAACAGTTTCGCTTTCAGGCAAAGTTCAATCGTCACTCTTGACTTGATTTTGGTTGATTTACTTGTCCGAACCAATAAACCGAATGATTCCTCCACCACACACAATCCATGATGTCAATGTAGACAATTAACAACGCTGTCATCTCTCAAAATCTAATATGCAGAGCTGATTGGAAGAGAGCCAGTCGCGTGGATCGGAATAAGTCATAATATACCTCTCAGTTTACGTCACGCCGACATCCCGCTCTAATGGCGTCTGCCCGTCAAACCACGCAAATACACCTTGCTGCCTGTGCCTGACGAATTTGGACATTCAGCGCAGAATGTAGAAACTACAGGTTCGGCAATTTCGATTACTGCGACAATCAATATTGTCAATACAGATACTGAAAGCCACAACGACAATTGACTTATGCGGCGCGAACAGCTGATGAGATCGCGCTGCCTTAATCGCTGGTAACACAACAACAAAGAAGAGCACAGTTTGAATACGTAAACAAACACGAACTAAGTCTTTGTACACTAGTCCCGGGACTGTCGTGGCAGTCTGTTGCAAACCGCGTTACAATGCTTGCTCCTGATCCGCGGACATTAAAATCAACGTACCATCGATTTTGACAAACTATTAAAGAGGCTGTAAATATCGATCTTTTTTCTCTGATTGATAACACATTTCCTGTGTGATTAGTATAAATTTATAACGGCCATCGCCGAAATGTGGACACTGAAATCAGCATATACACTAAATATCGACGTTGTACGTTAAACCACTTGCAAAACAGATGTCCGCGGGATAGCGTCCGGGTCACCGAACCGAACGATTACGCTACAAGATTACTTACCGTGGCCCCTGAGCGAAATGACAATTACGTTGCCATCTCTTCGACAACCTCTTTCTGGTGATTGTGTGTGTTTTCCCATAACAATGTGCGTCATGCGACATGATTTTCGTCGTCATCATGAGGTGACCGAACGAAATGGCGACCACTCGATCTTGTGTAGGGTCACATCCCCTATGCTATTTATCGGTAAGATTTAGTCATTTTTATGTGGTAATATTTGCAGTTGCAGTCAATATTTTTTTAAATATTTTGTTAGTGCAAATAATATTAGTCACGCGCAGTTACAGTATAATGAAAAAAAGGATTACGTATTACGGAAATTGAATACATCTGGGGGTATACCTATGGACCATATATTGTTAAAACACAAATTGTACTTAAAACATGACAATTTGTATTATTGCAAATAATGTGAATATCCCCCACACAGTGACGTAAACAGAGTACAAAACGTAGAGAATCATTTTGTTGTAGTTCATTTCATTATTAAATGGCACGGTAAACGCCGTTGAGATTTCCTATAATCTGCAGTTAAAATTCTGAATTTACAAAAACAACACAATCAACATCTTAGTAGGAGACATTGCGAATAAACATGGCAAATAAAGCACGTAGTGTTTTGTTACCCGACGTATGACGTCAGGACATTATCACCCAGTTGAATGTCGGCGTTATTCAGTACAATTATGAAGATAACACGAATCAATTTGAGTCACATATCGTTTACATCAGAGTCACTCCATTTATCAACAATCTCTGCCACATTTATGTTTGTTAAGACAAGTTGTTGTCGAGGGAAAACGCCAAATTTTACAGTTTGTAAGAGAGAACTAAATCTACAACTTGACCTGTGGACGCAATAAAAGTGAATAAATGTGTGTCGAAAGTGTTTTGCAAATTAATGATTAAGCCTTACTTTATTCAGCTGCACAGTGGGTTGTTATCAAACGAACTGATAGAAAAGATACATATTTTATATTATTGTACAGCTTTTAGAACATGAAAAAGTGCCTTTTATCCGTGAAATATGGGATAAAAAAAAAATTGTTACAATATATATATATGTGATATATAAATATCTAGAACTGTCATGAGATTACACAAAGAAAGTCAATTTTTATGTGAGCGAAGCAACTGGAATAATTAATAACGTTTCTATCGGGCAAATGGATAAAAGTTGAACTGCACCATCACTTAAATTTGGACATATACATTGAATGGTTATACAAACATCAACACAGACATCGCGTCTAATCACCAGGGAATTACTAAGCGTAAATTGAATTTCGCTGATCCTTCAATTTATTTTGTACATATATATGTATATGTAAAGGAATAAGATTATCATATATACTCATGACTTATAATGAGAAACAATTTTGCGATGACTATCTCTCCATAAGTGAACCTATTTCATCAAATTGAAAAAAACAAATGCGGCAAATGGCAATATCCGGACATGGTACACACCAGATAAGCTTATACGAGCATACATATCAGTGATCATAATACATTCTATCGCGCATTGATGTGTCATTCAGCGCAGATTAATCATATGCAGTGATATATTGGGTTGTACATCATAAAATTCACCAGTGTTCCGAACTATGCAGCTAAATAACTTTTCATATTGGCGTCGCTCACTGAATATCTCTTTTGAATAGTTGAATTTGTATGGCTCGACGGCTGCGGTCGTAAATCAAACGCCCCGCGTGCTCACCACAAAGAAATGTAAGTAATCCATAATTGTGACAGTGAAAGCGTTTTGTGCATCTCGATGACGGTATTAGCCTTCACATAGATCATTTGTCGCCTACTGGCATGTCTCTGAATTGTGCGTGACATACAAACATGCGATGATCTGAGTTCATTATTATTGTGTTATTTACTTCTATAACACTTATAGAAGTGTAGTCGAAAGGATGAACCCGTATTCATTGCAAGTATAAAAGACGCATATATGGGCCAAGCCCTGATTATCCAAAAAATGATTGCAAAACATGTATGATTGCCAGGTAATTGATTCTGACATACGGTGAATGCATTACAATCGGTTGTTGGGGAGGCGTAACTGAACTATATAGCTAACTAGTTACTCGATCGCAATAACACGGACAAATGATAGTTACTGTATGAGATTATGTATATACAATAATGGAAAAAAACCACGACCATATCTCACATGAATAAGAATAGAGATTTGAAATATATAAACTGTAAAAATATTTGAACGTTTTAAAACACGTAATAATTCACAATCTCTCAATTTATAATATATACAAATTGATCAGACACGATATTAATATAATCATAATTTTGAATGCCTGATCACCACCGTAGGTAAGCTAATCAAATATTGAAATTAATTACAGAAAATACCGCTTATACTTTCAAATATTTTAAATTTAATAATACTAAAGATTATAAGAGTAACTTGAATCTCAATAAGAATTTACCAGGTTAATACACCAATATGCAAACGAAATACTAAAGAACTAAAATTACCTGAAATATACCTTTTTAGCGGAAGAGTAACCGTAGCTATTATATGTACAGTTGGTGAGTGCTTTGGAATTCGAACATAAAATCGACGGTAACTTCTGTTATGTGCTGTCATGCAAACGACCCTTCGATATTCCACGGAAATTTAACTGAGGCGATTTCTTAAAAAGTCGGAATAAATATGGTCAAGAAATTATCTCCTGTTTTCACGAAACTCACGAGGTAATATAATAATAATTTGTTTGGTTTTCCAATTGCCTTTGTAGATTTGATGATGTTTCGAGCAATAGAAGACTTTTTCCTGAACAATAGTATATTCAATTATAAAACATCACGATATATTTGTATAATCCCCAAATATCTGTGAAAGTGAAATGTCTTATTTTCATTTCACATATATCACGTAACATAGTTCATTCCCTAAACGTGTTTAATATTACAGTACTTCGTACATTTAACGCGTCTCTTCAAACGCTATGGTCGACAGTGTGAACCGTGTGAGCCTGTGTCTGTTCTGAGCTTCCAGGTAGTATTTTCGTTGTTTTCTTGCAGAACACTATTTGCAGTCCATCCCTGAATTGCTTGTTTTTAAATGAATAAATCATTGGATTGAGGCAAGAGTTGCAGAAAGCGAGGATGATAAAAAATTGATAGTATGTAGCGTAGTGGTCCAGCGGTGCACCATAGTTGAATGCTAGAAATAACGTCTGGTTTGTCGCCCAACAAACTGTGAATGTTATCACCACCACGAACAGCATTTTAACCACCTTCTCTCGCGCCTTCAACAACGAAAACGCAGGGCTGTTGTTTTCGTTACGAGCCAACATAGCCTGGGCGTGCTTCTTCAAAAAGACGAGGATTCTCGTATATACAATGAGAAGTACAATTACTGGAATGAGAAACGATGCAAGATATAAAAGAACGCCAACAGCCAGTCGGTAATTCTCATTGGGCCACCAAATGACGCACGTGCGGAGAGTGTAATCATAGGGGAATATATAAAAAGCCAGGCTTTCTACGGTTGCCGCGCACATCCAGACGATGAGAATAAAATACAGACAGTTACGTTTGGTGAATATCTTCTTATGCTTGGTCGACATCACAATTGCAAAATAACGCTCAATGGTGACAGCAATGAGATTGAACACTGAGGCCTTGAAGCTGATCCACAAGAAAGCAGTGGAGTAGACGACACGGCAGTAGAGTTCTCCGGCAATATTTGGTGGAATGTGCCTCGGCATTGGAAGGGGTAGAATTGTCACCGATGAGATAAAATCGGCGCATGCCAAACTGATAATAAAATAATTGGTCGTTGTTCTAAGTCTTCTTACACTTGTAAAAACTACAATAACCAACAGATTTCCGACAATTCCAAGTATGGAAAGGATAATCTTACATACTTCTACCCATCCGTATGAGCTGGTAAAGTTTACAGGTGACACGGTTGTAGTGGTGTTATTGTCGAATATAGCCGAACTATTCGCCATTATATGCAATCAGTGGTTATCAACCTATAGCAAAAATAGAAATAAGATATCAATAACATCAGTCTATAAATTTAGTGAGAGTGGTACAAATAACACAGATACAGAACTAAGTGTAACAAATATGAGTGGTAATTGTGGTTACTTATATTGGAACGTACATATTACGTACATATGAATAAACACTTAATTGGCGATCTAAGACGTTTTCAAGAAAAACATGCAACCTGTATCTTATGGACAATCGTGTATTGATTATTTGTTTTGTTCTGTTATTAATTACATTTTTAGTTCTTGGACTTCACTGATTAAGAATTTGAAATTAATGAATGGTCTAATAGATTGTGCCGAGTACAGTCTATATAGGTTAAAAAATATCTCTGTAAAAAAATATCTCTGTAATGGTGCGTTGATTTTGAACTTGAGTCTTGTATAGTTCATTATCAAAATGCCGATTTAAAGTTTTCAGAGGAAAACATGGCGTTGAGATACGTTTACATCATCAAAATTAGCCGTGAAGATACTAGATCTCCGAAATATTTTCACGTTTATGTACACCCATGCAACGACAGCTTTACGACGCTAAGACATTTGTTTACACTGTTTTTACATTCGATATCAATGACCAATTGACTACTTTACAATAGATATTATGACCTCGAACTGAAACATTAACCACTATATAGACGTACATCAAAATTATTTGTATGTACTCACGTTGTGTATATTAATGCATCAGTTTAATGCTAGATATCAGAGTAGTCGAACGTGTAAAAGTGTGCCGTAGTTGTTGCAATAACAAATTAAATTGGCATTAGTGTATCTCATCCTAAAGACGAAAGACGACACCACGTGCCATGTAAAGTATGAATCACAATGAATTCAATGTGTTAATCCCTTTCGAAATACGGAGAAATTATAAATTGTTATAAATTCATTAGATTAAGAAAATGAAAAACAAAATTTGTTTAGTCGGTTTATGAATTTACGTTAGTATAACACCTGACAGTGCATCACATTCTTTACAATTGTAACTAATGTGTGTCCAATAATAATAACTTAATCGCAATGTTATAATTCAACATCTGTGTTCATCAGAGACACATTACCCCATCTACGTCATTCTCGATAGTGATTGGTATATTCCATTCTTCCCAACTAAACACATATCATATTGCAAGTTTATTTTAGGGAAATGATTACCAAAAGATTAGTCGAACCAACATTCATTGGTTCAAATCCACATTACAAGACAATATCGCGAAATGCCAACTAAAGCACAGTGCCTGCATGTTGAAACAAAACAAAATAAGATCGTCTCACTCGATGGGCAAGTGTGTTTATGTAAACCAGCACAAACCAGTACCATAGTTTTGTCATGATGTGTACCCAATTATTGATTTACATTTAAGTATTAATTAAAGTTAAATCGACTCTATGGAAATACAGATTTCTTTTAATTACAGACTATTATTTACCTAGAACAATATTGTTCATTTAGCATATACAACATTTTTGTGATATTAATTTTAAAATTCAAGCAAATATTGCTAAAAGGGATGCCCACTAAATCCTGCCGTTGAATACGACTAGGTTGTGGTAATTTGCTGAGTCCTACTGACGGGAACACATAAATTCTTCTGACGGCATAATCCGCTGGATACAACTGACAAGACGGAACTGAAACACGTCTGAAACACAGTTGTAAATGTTATTAAAAAAAGTCAGTTTAGATCGTTTTTATAAAAATAATACACTTAAAGTGTGGTTACAGTCTCTCATTATCACATATCATACTGTATGTGAAGAACGTGTTCACGCTTGCATTGTTATGCGAATGTTTGATTGTGTTTTAAAACTGTATAGTATCGAAAGTGTGAAAATCGCAGCTCAGCGAGACATTAACATTCTATGCAAAGTACTGTCTGGCGCCATGCTAGCGGCTCATATGTGTTGCAATACGTGGATAATTATGACAAATAACGCGAAGGATCAGCTATAAGTAGACAGCACGCGACCATAGCACTTGATACAATATCAATGTAAACGTCACTTATGCAGCTGCCAATGGTCTTCACCTGGTAAATTTAACAGTGAGATGCGATGTTAGTTAGACACCGGCAGATGCCAATCATCAATTTCGAGGAGAATTGATACCCGGGGTACGCACAGCGTTCATGTGATGAACAACACCTTGAGTACAAACAAAACAGTTCGCGTAAAGGCAATACTTTCCCATTAAAATTCCATCTTATTCCATTTTATTTAATCTGTGGAAATATGCATGTGACAAATACATAGTTCTAGAATATGTGCTATTAGTTTGACACTCATTATTACCTTAGCGTCAATTACTAAATACAGCTGTCAATGATAACCATGGTAACCACAATATATGGTATGAGGGTACATATAATATCTGAGTAAATTACATGATGACGTCAAATGATGCGTCAAGGGTACATATCATTTTTTGGTCGCTATAAGGCTATCAGCTTACTAACATAACAGTAGTAGTAGAGATTTATAGTACTGACAGTGAATGGATCAATTATGATTTAATAGCTGTAAGACAAATGATATTATTAATATCAGCCCCTGTATCGGAACAATGTAATAACTAACAACTCATAGTAATGAAGCAGTTTGTTTGATATTGCACAATTCACTCCATATTCATGAGCGTATGTCGTGAATTGTTCAATATCTCATGTTCATGGACACACACTTTTATTACCAAGTCCCTTTATACATCTACTGTGTAATATATATGTCATTAATAACTGTTCAGTCTGTTCGCATATATATAGTATATGTTTTCATATACTCTCAATGACAAATCACGATTATTTGCATGCTATACGATTAGTATGATCAACATAGTGAAAATCGAATCAAGGCAATCTGAACCGTTTTAATGTCCCTGAAGTAACATGATTTGCAAATTAAACTGTCATCGCAAACACACGGAAGCCGGTTTTGTAGGAGATAAAGTATCTGCATCCTGAGATTAAATTATCACTGATCGATAACGTTATCACTCTGTGTTAAATTTCCAATCAAGGCAAATATGAGATATGCTGCTGTGGGACTGACAGGAGTTTAGTTTGAGGTTGTTGCTATTGTCCGTTAAATAATGGAATAAATGCAAGTATAAGCAACAACTCTCGCCGAAAAACAAAGCAGTACATTGAGCGACTAAACGTCGATGTATCTTGTGTAATTTTAGAAATCTAAAGATCCACTAAAAACCGTTCACCATTGATGAACTCAATAACACTAATGATTTTTGGTGGTGAGATATATAGTCATAAGTTGTGTGTATAACGCACATGCACATATCTGGATACGTTTACGTTTTTGATAATGCCTAACAGAAAGGAAAAGTTGATAAATAGCCGCCCATTAGCAACATTAACAAAGTCATATATGGAATTACTATACAGTTACTTGAATGATAGAAGGATTTATTAAATGCACATTATATAGAACAGCTGCTGCACTGGATCGAAAAACAAGGTACTATGGAAGCGGAACAGAGTATAGGATTGCTTTGGAAAAAATATTCACTGTCTTGTGTCATAATTGTTGTCATGGACTTCAGTCAATTCTTGAGGGAATAGTACGCCGACGGAAATTGGCCAAAAGATTAAAATATGAGATTAAAACCAAATATATTTAGATGAATGTGATTGCAATTTCTGAAGTCTTTTGTGTAGTCACTTTTGTCACATCATTCACTACCTAATACTCTGCCTGATGTGAACATTCATATGCATAATTATTGAAGGCCATTCATATTGTTGTAACAATACTGGTAAAGATAATCAACGTAGACGACAGGTAATGACTCCAAGTCGGGATTATAAAAAGCTTTTCATGTTCATTTTCTCAACTGTATGTTCAATTGAAACTCAAAATTGAAAAAAAGATTGCAATACATATATTTCATATAATAACATTTTCTTTGAATTTGTTTGAATTGGAAGCGCCAATCTTCTGATTAGGTACGATAACCACATTTAGTCGTATGTACATTTGGGCGCATAAAATACCGATAACCCCATGCATTGTGAAGTGAATAATTGCCAACAATTATTTGTGTATAAATTCATTGCTTTCAGCAATAGTTATGAAATTAATACATACTCGAATAATCGAGTGTCAATCGAGCAGAATGTTCATTATTTGACGTACATGCTTTAGATTTATATATGTTAAATATTTATGTGTTCAGAAAAGTACTTGATAGAAGAAGAGTAACTCAAGCAGTTTTGGAATATATATTAAGAATTATGTATAAAAGCATTATTATATGTACGGGTGATTTTGGTTATGCGTGAAGCTACTGCCAGAGTGTATACTTTGCATTATTCTTGCGATACACGTATTATTTTACCTGCGTGAGGTCATACTATAATGAAAAAGAGCAGCCTAAGATGCCAGCAAAATCATTTTACGAGATCAGCGTCATCGATCGTTTGCGTTCAGAAACTGGATTCTACTTCATGCACACGTAACATTTTTACAGCGTGGGATGTAACGAAGCTAATGATAATATAACATACATAATATCTTACTAGTGTGTTACAACATCACAAAGTATAGCACGTGTTCATATGTTTACATATATGACATCTGTGTTATATATCACAAGTATACATTTCAGGTCAAAATTGATAAATTTTTAAAATAAATGTATGTATAATATTTGTTTTTTCACACAATTGTAAGTAACACAAGTTTATTTTACATAATAGATGGATTCTCGTTTAACAGAATGTCTATTTTTTGCACGTAGACAACTAGCCGAAAGGCATACAATCGAATGTCGCCTGTCAGAGTACGTCAGCGTGCATGTCTACAGTCAACATTCTCGAAGCACACCCGCCGATACAAAACAACTTCCTATTACATATAGTTTACGTGCTGTTGTATTTTGATCAATGAATTGTTATAAATGGCCAAATTACCGCACTATGCATTCCCAAGATACTCACTAA